ATTATTATATTATTATTTATTACTCTTAAAATGCATTTCACGATTCTTTAGAATCTCATTTCTTGGCCGCTTTTGTAGCTTTGCGAATACTCAGGAACTTGACGCAATTAGCTAAAGAAACATTTCTCATATTTCAACAGTTGTTTAGCAATTCTGAAGAGTTTGCACGGCCTGACAAAGGAAGCACAAGATGGAAATGGAAATTTTGTAGAGAGCAACAGCTAATTGCAAGGCCAAGAGCTCTAAGGACACAGCACATGGATGTGTGAGCGTGTATGAGTGTGAGTGTGAGTGCGTAAGGGTCAGTGCATACGAATGCGAGTGGCTGACAGTGGACAGGACAGGACATGCTCATTGTTATTGAAGCGCAAACAGAAGAAGCGAGCGGGGAGGGCGCAGCAGCAAACAGACTCATTAAAAGGCATAAGACGTATGAGCAGAAAATCAACAGTTGAGAGCTACAGCAAAGGGTTAAAGGCTCAGGCAACAAGCAGTTAAAAAATAAATAAATGCCAAAAAAGAAAAAAAAAGAAAACAGAGGGAAAGACAGAGGCCTCGTCATGCCCTTGGCCCAAGCAATATTAAATTTGTTATTAAGCCCTGTAATTATTTGTTCGGGCGCAGTTGTTGGCATTTTCTTGGCTATTAACTGCCGCTGAAAGAGGCTGAAAAGGGCGGGGCATGGCCAAGTGTATCTGAAGATGAAAATATAAATAAATTATGCAAACTGGACAAAGACAATGCGCACGCCGTTTGCTCAGCTTATTTCACAGTCAAGTTAACTTTAAAGGAGCCTCTGCGCCTGCGAGCACATTTTTCGCAATTCTCTGCATCTTTTCTTCTACTTCTGCTGTCTATATTCTTTTGGTTGCCACCTACTTTTCTCGTTTGCCATTTTCTTTTCATCATTTTCATTAATTTCTTATGCAGTGCTCGGCGCGTAAATTAACAACAATTGTTTTCAGTGTCGTCCACTTACATTTAATCTTCATCTTGGCATTCATTCACAATCGCAATCGCAATCACATTCACAATCACATTCATGAGCATGCCAGCTCATTGTTCCCAGTTCCCGCCGCTTGTCCTCTCGTTTCGTTTTTGCATGCCACGCCCCCATTGAGTGCTAAAATAAATCAAAATGCGAAGCCAAAGAAATGCAAAATGAAAACAAACAAAAAACGAGCCAAACAAATCTTAAATGAAAATTGTAACCAACAGCCGCATGCAGATCCTGCCAGATTCTGTGGGGTAAGGGGCATAATCTGCTCGGTAACACACACACACACAGAATGTGGGCCATGTTGTGGGCTGGCCAAGCTTAAGGGTCAGTAATAAATGTCATGATATGAAATTTATTTACGCGCCTCGAAAAACCAATGAAAAGCAAAGCAAASCGAACGGAATGCTCGCAACAAGAGCAGAAACAACAATAAAAATTCCACAATACAAAGACAATTAAAAGCGAATAGGCAGCCAAAGCAAAGACAATAAAAGAGAGCAAAGGCGAACGAAAATTCAACTGCAAATGCCAAAGGGCAAATAAATCTACGCACTAAATTGATGATACGCACCATAGCTTCAGGGAGAGAGAGAGGGAGAGGTGGTGGGAGGAAGAGAGAGAGAGAGAGAGAAAAAGAAAAAGAAAGAGGGATAGAGAGTTTAACAATCAATGAATAATATTTAAGAAATATTTCTTGGCAATTCAAGTTTTTCTGCATAATATTTTTAATTGAGAATAAGATGCATATTTTTCTGAGACTAATGATATCTAAAAA